TAGCCAAAGTGAATGCGCCTGACCGGTCCTCCGCCACAACTTGCAGAACTTCAGCCTCGAGTCCCAGCTCCTTCCATATATCCTTCGCCCTCTTACATGTGAATAAACAGTGCTGAGCATCCTCATATCCTGCCTGGCATATCGGGCATTGTCCCGTGACTGGTATATGGCGGCTTGCTAGGGTACCATAGCATGGTAAAACTCCCCTAATCACCTTACACACGAAGTGTTTAACTTTGCCAGGAATTCTCAATCCCCACACACATTTCCAGATATGATTTGGCCGACTGCCTTGTGCTGCACTTACATTCTCCCTGCCTCCAAGCTGGTGTTGGAATTGCACGTGATAGGCCGGTCGCACATTGAAGACACCAGATCGATTGTAATGGCATGATACAAAGTCTTCCATCAGGTGCACTCGGAGAGGAATTTGTAAGATCCGATGTACATCAACTTGCCAGAAAACATCTCGGATCAAACTCTCATCCCATTGCCCAATATAAGGGTCGATTAGTTCCTCCACCTTGCTCAACATAGTTGCTCCCCTTGGATTTATAATTTTCCTTGTTTCACTAGTGGGGATCCAAGGATCATTGCAGATATTTATCTATGAACTGGTACCCACACACCAAATGCATCCTCTCTTAAACGTTTGTATACCCGCTACAATACTTTGCCAAGTGAAGGAAGAACCCTTCTTAGGTCCTGCCATGAGTATATTTCCATCAGGGTAGTACTTTGCACTTAGAACTCGTGCACACAAAGATTCGGGATTCTGGAGTAAGCGCCAACACTGTTTTGCTAATAAAGCAAGATTAAAACTGTGTAGGTCCCTAAACCTCAATCCACCTTTAATCTTGGGGATGCATAACTTCCACCATGCAAACCAATGCTTCCTCTTCTTTTCCTCACTATCACCCCACCAAAAACCTGCAATCTCATCTGTAATTGCCTTGCAAATATTTTTGGGTAGTTTAAAAACTGACATAGCATAAGAGGGGATTGCTTGGGCTACTGCCTTCAACAATATCTCTTTCCCCTTCATTGAGAGCACCTTCTCCTTCCAACCCTTAATTCTCTGACAAATTCTATCAATAAGGTGTTGAAAACAGTCACTTCTATCCACTCCCACAATAGTGGGAAGACCCAGGTATTTATATGTTAATGCCTCACTTAGAATATTCAGATTTGTACATACCTCTTCTCTAACCAGCACACTTGTATTCGGACTGAAGAAAATGCTCGATTTAGGGGTACTTACACACTGCCCACTACTCCCACAGTAAACTTCTAGAATTCTTTTCAGTGTGTTTGCATTCTGAGCATTTGCTTTCATAAGAATCAGCGAATCATCTGCAAAAAGCAAGTGGGACATAGATGGTGCATCTCTGCAAACACGTATCCCTTCAATACCACCCACTTCTTCTTCATGAGCTAATAGGCTAGAAAGCCCTTCCGAACAGATCAAGAACAGGTATGGAGATAGAGGATCTCCCTGCCTTAAACCTCTTGATAGTATGATCTCATCCGATTCCACTCCATTGAACATTATTTTATATGTCACTGAGGAGACACATTGCATTATCATTTCCACCTAGGCCGAGTGAAATCCCAATCTCAGCATCATTTGTTCTAAAAAAAACCATTCTACTCCATCATATGTCTTCATCATGTCCAATTTTACTACACAAATTCCATTCGAGCCATGGGTCTTCTTCTTTATTGCATGAAAGCATTCATAAGCTACTAACACATTGTCAGTTATAAGTCTTCCAGGGGCAAAAGCACTCTGTGTTGGAGAAATTACCTCTGAAAGTATCTTCTTGAGTCTGTTTGCAATCATTTTTTATATGATTTTGTAGACAACGTTGCACAAGTTGATAGGTCGATATTGTGTGATTACTTCCGGGCTATCAACCTTCGGAATTAACACTATATTTGTTTGGTTCCAACCGGTCGGCACTTTCCTGTTGTGGACTGCCTCTGGCACCTCATCAGTAAGTTCATCACCTAAGATGTGCGAGAAACGTTTGAAAAAAATTGCATGCAGTCCATCGGGCCCGGGTGCCTTCATATTCCCAATCTGAAAAAGGGCCTTCCGTACCTCCTCCCACGTGTATGACTCCATCAGCGTTGTGTTCATCTCCGTGGTGACTTTTGGTTTCACCGTATGCAACAAGCCTTGATCATATTCTGTAACATTAGAAGAAAAAAGGCCAGAGAAATAATTTGAAATAAGCGGGTTGAGGTTATCATTTCCCTCCACCCACCCGTTGTTATTATCCTTCACTTTCTTAATCAGATTCCTCCTCTTCCTAGCAGAGGCCAAGTTATAAAAGTACTGACTATGGCGATCGCCTCTACGAAGCCATCTAACATTGCCTCTCTGGGCCCAGAAAATTTCCTCTTGATCTAGCAAGTTTTCTATCAATACTGATAATTCCTTCTGCCTCGAGCGAACCTCATTTGTGAATGGGGCTTGCATCAGCTTTTCCAGCTCCTTTTGGGCTTTATTCAGGCGAATTCGAGGTCCTTTGAGGACTTTCCTATCCCATTCATGCAGATCACGGTGAACAGCATCCACTTTCTCATGCAAATTGGTATAAAGGCCTCGGTGATGTGCCTTTTGCCATGCTGTTTTGACGATCTCTTCCACCGTTTCTTCTTCTAGCCACCTTGCTTCAAAACGCCTTTTATACTGTGGCTTTGCTTCTGCCACACCCGCAAGATACTTTGTATCCAGCATTATGGGCCTGTGGTCTGATTTGCCCATATCCAAATTACGCAGGCCTGCATATGGGTGCATACTTATCCACCCGCCGTTCATCACAGCTCGATCAAGTCGCTCTTTCAGACCACCCCGGAACCACGTGAATTTATCCCCCATGTATCCCAGGTCTTCGAGATCACAATCTGATAATGCATCTTGGAAAGCTTGCAACCGAGCTTGCTATCTTGGCGCCCCTCCCTCCTTTTCCGATGACAATAAGATCTCATTGAATTCACCAACAATGGCCCAAGGTAATCTAGACTGGGCGTGCAAGTCTCGTATTGGTATGTACGATCCTTATGCTCCCAGCTTGGTTCTCCGTATATACCCGTCATTCTCCAAATATCACCATTTGTCTCATGCACATGAACATCAATCCCCCCTCGTGCGGTGGTCTGGGAGTAGATCCTCACCTCCTTCTTCCAGACCATTAGCAAACCGCCCGTTCTGCCATATGAGCGCGGTTCCACAATCCTCTTATCCAGGCCCAACTTGGGCTTCGTTTGCGTAGGCCGGTAAGAACCTAACGGAGGGAAAGAAGTCTTCTAAAGAAACAGAGGGAAAAAGTCTATTTTTCATCCTCAAGTGTGCCTCGGTGGACAAATAACCCACTAAAGTCAATTTTGGTATAATTTTGACCCTGAAATGTCTAAAATCGGGTAAATCTACCCCTTCAGTGGTTTTGCTATGATTTAGGTGGTTTTGGGACACGTCATCATCTTCCTTCTCTCTTTCTCTCCCATGTGTGTAATACATCTAACCACGATGGACGATGATGCTCGCCATGGACGTGCTACAACGCTGCCTAGCCCTCTCTCTCCCCTTCCCCTATCCCTCCTCTCTGCCTCTCGTGGCATGAATAGGGCGGCCTGCACGCGCCCGTGTTCAGTCACGCCGTCAGTGGCAATGACCACTGGCCATCTTGAGCCACGCCGCCATGTCAAGAAACTTTGCCGCCCCTCCCTACTCTGCCAAAGCAATTGGAGCGAGTCGCCCCCAAATCGTAGCCTAGACGTCGTGTTCCTTGTCTTTGGTATGTCGTTGTCTTGTCTAATTCCCTAGCTCTGACGAGCTCCAGTGCCTTTGCCGCCTTCCTCGAGCTCCCTCTGGTATTCCTAATGCTCCTGGCGCCTCCCAAGAAGACCACCGACCCCGAGCTCCTTCCTCCATGGCCCGGTGCTCCGGTAATCGCCGTAGCCTTCCATGCTGTCGTTGTTGTGCTTGATCATGATCTATTGAAAGGGGCGGTAGATGCTATCCTTCGAGACCATAACGACAAGTTTATAGCTCAGGAAACAAATATTTGCTATGGACGACGAAAGATTAAACATAGCCAAATGCAGTGTTTATTTGTCACTTATTTGTCACGGCAAAAAAAGACTTTTTTTATATGTGCGCTTCTGGGCTTTTTTCTTTTTTTCTTTCTATAGAGAAAAGGCATGTAGAGCGACGGAAAGGGGTGTTCGGGCTAGGAGGCCTCTCTGCCTGAACGAAATCGCTCCTTCGGGGCAACCTGTCGCATCGAACCTTTTGTTTGGTTTGGGAGGTCCATAGACCAAACGTTGGGTGGTGATCGGTGTCCTAAAGTTAAACCACTAAATGCACGAACTATGATGCCCCAGCCTATCCACCTAGGCAATAAAAAATTATGTTGATTTTTTACCCAACCACACAACATAAAACAATGCTCCATCATCCTCATCTCTTCTTCCTTTTTCTCACCTTTTTGCATTGTGGTCATTTGCCATTTTCTTTTTCTCTAACTTCCCACTGGCTCCTATGCAGGAGTCTGTCCGAGGCTTGGTTCGACACTCGATCCTAGTTGGTATGCGGGGTGTCCGGTTGAAGCCACCTGCTCGCCGTGCCCTAATTGTTTTTGCCTTTTATCGACTTATCAAATAAACTTGTGTTTCGTTGGTAAGCCAATAAATGATTAAAAATAAAATTCTAAAATACATTTAGGTTCCGTAAAAAAAATCATGAGGCCATACTTACTGAAGAAGAAAAGATCCCATTAAAAAAAAGTAGAGAAGAAGAATAGAAATGACGCGTTTTTGCTGGCTTTCCCCAACCGCCGGACCACGCCGTCTCTCCGTCTTCGATCCCCATTCAGAGCCCACGATTCCGACAAGCATCGGACAAACGCCACTATATTTCCACTCGGCCGATCCTCCATCCAGTCGCAAATTTCCGCCGGAACCGCTGAACTAATCGTTCTCCGAGGAAAGCGATGGCTAGAAAGGATCTGTCTTCTCGCCGGCGCCGGCTCCCCCTCCGGCGGCCGCGCGATGAGGACCGCCTCAATGCCCTCTCCGACGACCTGATCCTCCAGATCCTGGGCCGTCTCGACACCCGCAGCGCGCTCGGCGCCGCCGCGCTCTGCAGGCGCTTGGCCCACCTCCCTCGCGAGCTCCCCGCCCTGGATCTCAAGGTCAGCGACGCGCTCCCGCCGCGCTACCGGCGGTGGCTCGACCTCCTCAACGAGGCAGTCACATCGGACGCGCTACGCGGGTGTAGCCGGAGGCTACGCCCCATCATCGGGCGGTACGAGCGCCGCGCCATGCGCGCCATGGTCAGCTCCGTCAGGAGCCTCAGAGCCCGCCGCCACCGGCGTGCGTGCAGCAGGCTGTCGCTCGAGTTCTTCGCCTTCAGCACCTCCGCCAGCATCAACCGCTTGGTCGTGGACGCCGTCGATTCCTGGGGTGTCGAGGATCTGGAGGTCGTTGCCAAGTCGACGGAGCCGATCACACATCTTCGTCCGGTCTACACGTTCCCCCGTGGTCGTATCAGCAGGAAGCCCGGCGAGTCCCGCCTTCGAAGCCTCAAGCTCGTCAATTGCTTGCCCCCGCCGCTGGATGGCTTCACCGCGCTCACCACGCTGCTGCTGCGGGACCTGCCCTGCTCTACGCCGGCGGCCGTCTACGAGGGCGTGGTCGCTGCGTGCCCGCAGCTGCGGGTTCTGCATCTCGTCGCCTGCTCCTTCGACAAGGATACGGCCCGTTGGCTGGTGTTCGACGCGCCCATGTAAGAAATCAGAGAGCTTGTCGCTGACGGCCCGTTGATGACGGTCAAGCTCCGGTCTCTCCCCAAGCTCGAGAGCCTCACTGCCGTGGATGCCAGGGTTCTGTTGTGCTCCGACGCCAACGTCCCTTGCCTTGCGCATGTGAGCCTCGTCTTCTCCATTGGTCCACTGGACAACCACTCCATTGTGAACCACTTGATTGCCTTGTTCATGCTCTCGTTGAAAGACGCGGCCATCAGCTTGAGGAATCTCATTCTGCGCTTTACTGGGCCAGAGATGTGGATTCTACCCAATCTGAAGAACCAGTTTTCTCTGATGCCCAATCTGAAGAAGCTGCTTGTTGCGGATGTGCCATCCTCCTGGGATGTCTCATGGCCGCGCATCCTCATCCAGGCAGCACCACTGCTGGAGAGCCTTCATGTTCATGTTTCATGTTTCACAGTCCCAGTCCCAGTCCCAGTCCCAGTGCCAACATGAGGAGGAGCCAGGTCGTCAGAATGTCTCCTCCTACTTGCAGACGCAGCAGCCATCATCGTCATCTTCTTGGCAGCGCCACCGCCATCTGAAGGAGCTGGTGGTTGTTGGCTTTCAGAGCACGAGCAGGATACATCATCAGCTAATCCACCTCGTGAGGTTCGTGGTGGATACTTCCCCGGCGCTGCGCCGTATCACGCTGTTCAAGCATGGTCATGTCGAGGACAAAGGGGGGCCCTGCCACTGGGAGGTGGTGAGCAAGCATAGCACCTGGAGCAACGACGAGAAACTTGCCGTCCTAGACTGCTGTTCCACTTCGACACCCCAAATTGAAGTGCTGCTAGGCTGAGCTAAATCTCTTCTTAGATTATTGTTTATTATGGTGCGTGATGATTCTGGATGCTCTTTAAGAAGAGGGAAACTCGAAGGAACATTACACTGCATTTCATCTTACAACTTCTGAACTACACGTTCAAGCAGTGCCAACAGAGGGAAACTTCAGAAGAGGGTTGACAACAAGTGATCATCTTACACACTCAAGCATTTGTAACGTTACACTAAACAGAGAACTAAAAATAACAAGGAAATCTGCTTGAAACACACTGTAAATGTGCTTTATTGCCACTGTCAATTTAGATCGATTGGTACACACTGAACTGGAGCATATGTATAACAGTTAAGGAGCAGAAACACACTGAAGCATTTGTTACATTATTACATCTAGCACTGGACACCAGGATACTGTAAAAAAAATAACAAGACAGCTGTCAATCACATGAAAAACACCTCCTAGTTACTGTCATAAGCAATCAGTAGAAATTGTAAAGTCTTGACTCACCTAGATCTATGGCTCAAATTTACTATAGTTGTGCATGATAATTACTATCAAAATATATAGAAAAAGCACCGTAAAAAGTTACTCAATCATTGTTAAAAGTTCAGACATGCTGTAACATTGTATGACAATGTTCAAAAGATTATTTGTATCCTAACTTGTAAATTATATCTTTGTTGACACTGTAAATAGTTCGGAAATAGACTATAACAATGAATAGCTATGTTCGAAAAATTATTGTATCCTACCTTGTAAATTATATCTATGTTGACACTGTAAATAGTTCGGAAATACACTATAACAACGAACAGCTAAAAATTACTGTATCCTACCTTGTAAATTATATCTCTGTTGACACTGTAAATAGTTCGGAAATACACTATAACAATGAATAGCTATGGTTAAAAAATTATTGTATCCTAGCTTGTGAATTACTCCATCCGTCTTAAAATAAGTGTCTTATTTTGGGGCGGAGGGAGTGCATTTTTGTTGACACTATAAATAATTCAGAAATACACTGTGACAATGAATGGCTATGGTTAAAAAATTAACGTATCCTAGCTTGTGAATTACAACTTTGTTTACACTGTAAATAGTTCAGAAATACACTGTAACAAATGAATGGCTATGGTTAGAAAATTACTATATCCTAGCTTGTGAATTACATCTTTGTTTACAATGCAAATAGTAGAAAATACACTGTAGCAATGAATGGCTATGGTCCAAAAATTACTCCAAGGAGTTCCTGCACAGCCTGAACAGAAACAATGGAGGCATGGAGATAACATCAAACTTTCTAAAAAAAAATCAAACAACTACCACTAATTTAGGTGTGTGACTAAAAAAATTACAATGGTGAAATTAACTGTAATTCGGGCAGCAGATAATTGTAAAACACAAAAAGGCTGATAGTATGCCATCAGATTACAAATTAACCTGCAGCGCCCTTTTACCGAAAAAGGGTTTCCCCCCGCTTTGTATTCCAAAGCAACCAGCCAACATAGATACATCTTGACGCTGGGGCGAGCAGCACAACAAACCCAAAGACAAAAAGAAGAAGAAACATAATGCCAACAACGGCAGCTCGACAAAGCGCGGAAGGCCCGCCACCGCTGCGCCCTCCGGAAACACCCCACCACAGCCCAAGGCTCCGAGTGCCGCATACCAAGCAGCACCTCCAAGAAGGTATGCGACGCCGACGACGCTGCTGTCCGGACAAGTCCTAGGGTTTCCCCCGGTATGCCAAGGAAAGTAGGGCATGGCTACCAACGACGCCCTTCAAGAAGGAATGGTGGCACCCGCCGGTGTCACCGCATCGGCGCCGGACGAACCGGCAAGGATTTCTCTCGCGCACCAAACACCACCGCCCATCCGGAGCCAACCAACCAAACAACCACCCAATGCGCCACCACGGTTGCGCTGCCGCCCACGCTGTCTCACTACGAGCACCACCACGAGGCCGAGAAGACAGGAGAGAAGCGCCACGCGACGAGAGCAGCAGCACCAAGGCCGAGCGGAAGGGAACCACCTCCACCGCCGTCGTGCAAGGAGCCGTGCCTCCGGCACTGTCGCGGTAGCCGACCGGACACTGCAGCGGGGCATACCAGGCCACCCCTGGCCCGGCCAGGCCCGAAACAGGCCCGCTAAGCCCCGCCGGCCGTGCTGCAGCAAGCTGGCGTCGGTGCCGCCAGCCCCCGTCGCGCAACGCCGCTCCCCTGCATCCCGGGAATCACGCCGCCAGCCAACCTCGCCGCTGGCCCGCCCAGGTCCAGATGGGCCCCGTAGGGCCTAGATCTGGGCCGAGCGCCGCCGCTAGGACGAGCCGCAGCGCCACCCCGCCGCCAACAACGGTGCCGCCGCCCAGCCGCCCGCCCGCTCTGCGACAAGGAACCCTGCCGCCAGCTGGAACGCCGCCGCCTAGGAGCACTCCCCGGAGCAACTCCGCCCCGCGCCGGAGCCACCGGGAGGGGAAGGGCAGGAGGGCCGCCGCCACCAGCGACCCCGGGGCCAGGCCGGCCGCGGGCGCCAGCGACGGCGGTGGGGAGGAAGGGGAGAGGGGGGCTGGGGGTGGGAGAGAAAGGAGTACGGCCGGCCGCCCGCGAGGGGAGAGGGGGGGGGGGGCGACGCGGTCGCGAGAGAGGAATAAACTCGAGTCAGAGCTCTGCAGCGCCCTTTTTCGTTACTGGACAGTGTGCCATCATATTACTGTGATAATGTATTGCTCATTCCAGATTTAGTCAATAAATTCTGAACCCTAGCCACATATTTGGTCTCCTGTGCGTGGGTAGTAAACACTGAAAGCCTCAACTCCTTCAAACATCATCCTGTTGTTTTGTCTATAAATTGCCTTATGTTTCGTATTGCCACAAGTTATTCTCGCTAAGTTGGAAAAATGAAATGTTTACATCCTTATGTGTATGTACATGGTTAATTACTATGTGTATGCTATTTTATCCTTGGCGTCCTTCCAAGGGGTTATTCATATTTGGTTGGCGGGCAACGCGATGCTTACTATCAAGTAGTGGAGCGAATAAGGTCTTTCCTAACTGGTTGCACGCGCAACCAGTATGATCATCGTCGCTCCATCTTGTGGATCAGCGCTAGCAGTGGCCCCACCTGAATTTGGCTATTTTTGTTTCCTCAGCGCATACGGGGGGAATACAAATCTTGTCGTATCTGGCGTCCTACCTACGATCGCGCCTAGCTCGTACTCGCCTACCTCCCCGTCCACTACCCCGTGACCAGGCTGCACCATCCACCCAAGCTGGAGACAATTCAAATTTTGAATCCCCTCAGGCACATGCAGCTGCATTGAGCGGAAGAACCACGCCCTCCCCGTCCCCGCGCCTGGTTCTCAAGAATTCTTCACGATTTGCTAATGAATCTCAGTGCGGAGTCATTCACCGATCTCCTGTTCAGGTTTCTTCTCTCACAAGATCCACTTTTCATTTCTTGCGTTTTCTTCAGCGAATCCTCAAATCTTCATCTTGCCATGTCCATGGGCAGCTTCTGTTCCCAGCCGATCACAACAGAGGGCGTCCCAGATCTGGATCGCTAAGGAGGAGGAGGAGGACGAGTACATTTATCCTAATTTCGAGAGCGATTCTTCTTCGTCAAGCCAAGATGGAGAGAAATAGGGTGCTACCGATTCAGGATCCCATGAATATCAGGCCATGCCAGATTTCTCCAACGTCCCAGATATTGACAACACCAACAGTCACATATTTGAGGATGCCCATCTAAATCGCTGTGCACTCCAGCTCCGTGGCCTCAAAGTTACTAGCGTACTGAATATCTCCCTGCCATGGGTTGCTCCACATTCAGTGAACTAGGCATTTTTTTTAGTATTGGCCTTACCTCGATTTCACAGGGTCAGCCCAAATTTAGGGTTAGTGACATGTTCAGTTTCTAGTTTTTGGATTAATGAATGTTAACATCTATGCAGTTGTTGTATATGTAAAATAATAGTCTAGACCAATATTAGACAAACTTAATGTTACGTGCCCGAGATCGTGGATCTCCTCTTTTGTGTTGATCCTGTTATGGGCTAGAGAAACGATATTATGTGAGTTAGCTATCGTACCTGAAATATGGACTTTCACATACTATGACTGGTCTTTTATTTTCTAGGTAGAAGAACTTTAGTGGCACAGAGCGGATTCTCTTCTCAACAATGCATTTTGAAGGTCTTTCATGG